GAAATTAGCATTACCTTTTGAAACATAAAATGCAGCATTAAGGATCCGCTAATTGTGTGTGGCCCAGAGGCCAGTCTTTGTCCAGATAATGATACCCTGCTGGCGCCGACCTATGAAAAGATAATGAATGAGGGCTTGCCAGCATTAGGATTGCTTCTGAAGAAGCGTACATTTCATTCAGCGATCTTGATTGAGCAGAATATGAATAAAATCGGAATAAAAAATTTCCAACTCAGATGGTACCCCTAAAACACTTGACCATTGGGTTGCTATATTAGCTTCCAATTAAGAAAATGTTTTTCAGTTAAATACAGTTTATATCTTCGAGGCCCCATGCTTTAGCCATCAGATCTGAAACAGGTCAGGTGGTAAATTTTTCTTTTTTCTATAAGCTGGGGGGAGGGGGCGGCTGGGGTTTATCCGCCTGGTTGTAAGTAGATGTAAGCAACGGATTATCAAAATATGATAGCATGCATAAGACAAGAGGGCCTCTCGAAATCTACGATTACAAAACCTGATAATAGGCACCAATTTCAATATCAAGGACATAATTCAAATGGAGTATACTAAACTTTAGCCCTCCAACAGCAAGATTCCTTCAGAATCATGTGTCCTTAGACTCACATGTGAAAAATATCGCTTATTTTGACGATATTGAAAAAATCATGTTTGCTTACGTGACAACTTTCTAACGTCACTCTGGCAGTCAAAATCACGATTACTCAAACTATAATGCCACACAAGCCTGCTTCAATCATTCGGCAGGATGTGGCATTTGTTGAGCTTACTTCCATTTCGAGTGAAAGTGTTGGGTGAAGAGATTCGAAGGGCGGATTCCTCTTGACCAGCTGTCGATTGGCTTTACTGGAACATTCATGTTGACGCTGTTTCCGAGGTAATCTGCTTCGATTCCGGTGAAAAGGTGCTAAGCTTTCGTCTGTCATATGACGAACATCATCAGAGCAGGGTATCATCGTCACAACAAAATTCAAGATAACGAGTCAAGTAGTCCAGGCAGTGATACGAGGGAATAGGAAAGATGAATGAATGTACCAGGACAGGAGAGATACTACAACATTTACTCGAAATGGAAGTAAGCTCAACAATTATGAAACAAGAGATTCCTCGAAACCCAACTTTTCTCCGCAGAGATTGTGGCAAGACGATAAGTGATCCAATTCACCTCGTCTAATTCCATTTGATTGAAATTGAAATTCAATTATTTCCTTATCATTAAAATGAGATAACACTGATAACAAATGGTTCATGCTAATTTAGGCTGAGCGCTAAACAATTTTTCATTACAATTTTTAGACAATTTGTAATGAGAGATATACAATGGCAAATTTAATGCTTTAATGGAACTCGATAAAATAATATATTGAATATATTCACTAGTGATAGCATCGGAGAGGCTTTTTCTGTGTGTATATAATGATTACATTGGCCATGCCATTTACTAACTTCTTACCAGTTCCAGTTTGTGTGCAAGATTTAAGCAAAATTGTTTTGCAAACTTGCATAAGTAGCATCTCTAGCCTCTTTTTAGTCCCCGGTCTGCGAATAAAAATTAGCAGACGAGGCAAAGAGCAAACAGCTCACTGCATGTGAAGCTCTGACAAAGCGCAAGAAAATCTCCCATTTGATATCAATTTCGGTTTGATCAAAACGAAAAGACGAGCCTCAACTATGATTTGATAGGGATCACATGTGTCCTGTAACTCACCAGAACTTAACGTCAAAAATGTTTATGACACCGATACTGATTGAAGGCGAGGTATAGCCTCGGGGGAGAACCTTTATGGGAGATAAGGTTGTCTAAAATTCACTGGCGAATCACAACGCTCGAATATAAACACAGGCAACTCCGATCATTGCCAAACTTTGGTGCATTGATTGTTCACATTTGCTGGAATTCCAGACGAAAGGAAGGTTGATCTGCTTCTCCTCAGCAAGCGTGGACGCTCGCAGAGGCGTAGACATTGGGAACGGAGTGTGAAAAGTTGCGAGGCCTAGGATGGCTTCAGAGATCCAAGGCGGCGGGTGGAAAGTAACGCTTGAGGTCTCGTAACAGAAGCCAAAGTAGAATTTTCCAAGTAACATTTTATGAAAATCCGTGGTGCTAAATTAA